GATGTTTTCAGATCCTCTGGGAAAATTCCCAGTAGAGGAATAGCTGGTTTAAAGGGGATTTCCAGACCAACTTTTTTAAGGAGTCTCCATATTGATTTCCATAACGGTTGTACCAGTCTACATTCCCACCAGCAGTGGAGAAGGGTTCCTTTTTCCCCACAGCCTCTCCAACATTTGTTGTTGGGTGATTTCTTTATAATAGCTGTCTTGTGCTTATGATCCATGTTCGGTGTCAGAAAGGTCTGGCAGGAGAAAGCTGTTCACATCATCGCAGCCAGGAAACAGAGACAAGAGTCAAAAAGGGAGTGACACCCTTCCAGGCCACGCCCCCAGTGACTCATCTCGCACCAGGCCCCGCCTCCTCACAGCAAATAAAGTGTAAGCCCCATGTCACTCACTTTCCACAAGTCGCTCCTCTGCATGTATGAAACTGTGAGGAGACATTCCCAGCCTAAATGAAAACAGGTAAAGAGTATGGTAGAAAAGTCTTGGACCAGAAGCCAACCTTGAAATTCCTGACTGCACCTTCCTGTGGCAAAGAGAAAACAGGAACACAGAGAAGGCGCTGTGACAGTTGTGACTGACTTACCTTAGGACGGCTCCATTGCAGTCACTTCCTGTTGACCTCCCATGTCTTGCGTGGGCTGGACCAGGACACATCAGGACAGTTTGTTTTGTAGAGGAGGCCGTTCATATGGCACATGAAGTATTTCCATTTCTTCTGGGGCTAGAATATCATGTTTGCCCTTGACAGCAATTCTGTGGAAGGATCCTATCAGGGGAATGAAAATTTGATCCAATTTATGTGTATTCTTACTTCAGTTAAATTTTACTTTTAATACAGTGGTCGAGTTGAGGTCTATGGCCTTTTAAGCTATTTTTCACATTCCATTGGTGGTAGGACAAATACAAGCAAAACTAGTGCTACTTCCTACCAGTGCAAGATAATTCTATGTACTTTGTCGTCTTACATAAACCACGTCTTGCACACAAGTAAGTGTCGAGTGTGATCTGCCTGCTTCGCGTGTTTGCTAAATGCAACATCCCACACTCACAGTATGTGGTACTGCCCGATGGTTAGAGCTTAATCACTGATTCAGAATAGAGGGTGATGACCACACAAGTGAAGAACTAAATTGGAAGTAATGCTAGGTATGACTTAGTTCAACCATCTCATTTTAAGAACAAGAACACCGAGGCCTAATGAGGTTAGATAAAATTTCCCTTGCCTTGCATCAGGCCAAAGTTGAGAAGGGAAACCAGGCTTCCTCTCTGCGACTCTGCACTGTGCTGTGTGCTGACTGCAGCGTGCAGGTTGGAGCTCTGCTGCACTGTATGTATTCAATGCCGTTAGCAGGAGTGCCTCCCACATTAGACCATGGGCTCCTTAAGGAGAGTTTCCTCCCCTGCTGCTAGCACAGCCAGGGACACGAAACACAATGCCAATAAATACGTGTTGGAAGAGTGAGTATGTGGCTGAAGAAATGGTTCATGCTTCCCCACATTCAAAGAAGCAAGTGCTGTAATTTTTAGCAGTCTCTACCAGTGTTTGGTCAGACTAGTAATGAGGAAGGATACAGAAGATATAAAAGGGGTGAAAATCTAAAAAAAATAGTGTGAAAAAACAACAAGACGAGAAGAGCATATACAATTTGGTAATAATCATATCCAGCCAAACTCAATGCGTAGGCAAAATTTCTAGATTTGATCCTGGAACCTTTTTGTCAGGACATGCATCTCTTATGACCACTTCTAGTTTTAAATAAGCAGCTCCTGCCCTTGGCATTCCTCCTCAGAGCCAGGAATGTGGGGTGCCCCGAAGTCCATCACATCTCCCCGTAGTATGGCCAACACCCATTTATCACATTTTCCAGACCCTTGTTCTGCTATGATTCCTATCACTGCGGTAAATGCATATAGCATGAGGTGCCCTGCTTCTGGAAGACAGTGGCCCTCCGTAGCCGCAAGTTCTCCAGCTGTGGTTTCAACTCACTGCAGACCAAAAATCCTACCTTCAGAAAAAAAGAAAAATTGCATTGGCACAGAATGCAAGCAAACTCTATAATCATTAGTCCCCAAGCAATGTAGTATAAAAACTATTTACATGTTTACATCATATGAGGTACTACAAGTATTCCAAAGATGATTGAAAGCATATGGGAAAATATGTGTGCAAACATTATGCCATTTTAAATAAGTGACTTGAACATCTGTAGATTTTGGTATATTCAGTGGTGCTGGAACCAACAGCCTACAAATACAGAGGGTGGTATGCCTCTTTTTTTTCATAATTTTATTGATAAGGTATGCCTCTTCTAAATGTCTTCAATTGGGAAATCATGCACCAGGAAACCCAAAGGATTGACTATTTATGTAGCAGCATGTCAGACTAAATGACAAGCATGCAGACCGGGTATGTTTGAGTTGAGTTTATCTCTCCTTGTGAATTACCTGAAGTCAATAATAATAAAGGTTAAGAATCCAGTAATCAGCCCCTATGTGAGTTTGCTTTGCTGCTGAAGTGCTGGCGTGGTATAAGTAATTTGACTGCTATGCTTGCTTTAGGAAAGCAGGAAAGAAACAAAGGATTTGGGAGTCCTAAGAGTAACAAGCTGATGGCTTAGGACTGAGGAAGTCTTTAGGGAGAAATTCCTGGTGGGAGCGTCACACTCAGAGAGCTTTATGGGGTCCGAGTGGCCATGGGCAGAAGGGCTGGCTATGCTCTAGGCTGTCCAGAAGTCCAGATGAGAGACTTGTGAGGTGCTCCTGCACCATTGCCAAGCAACTTGTAGTTGTATCCACTTGCCTCTACTGAAAGGTTTCAAGTGATAATAGTCTGTTTCGGATGGCCTAGGTCAGTAGAGCTAAGGACAAATACAGGCTGAACCATTTAGAACTCAGCATACCCTCCAGTCAGCACTATGAGGTGTGATTGAAATATGCAGTGGATGTTCAATTTAAAAACATGTATTATAGTAAAAGACATAGCAGTGTTAATGCCACTAAAAAACTCTCCTCACTTTAAATGCAGATACCCTATCTTTCTTGCCACTTTCTGAAGCAGTTCTGGAAGTCCTCCTTCAGAGTCTTTATAAGATGTAATAAAAAATATGGCAAATACTGCTGCTATGTGCCATCCAACCAAAAGGCAGATGATAAAAACACCACTGTGCCACTTCACTCATCTTACTCACCTGAGTTGGCATCTGGTGTCTTCTGAACCTTCCCCAGAGGAAAAATGACTATGAAAGGAAAACCTCTTGAATCAATTTGGGGCATTGAGGCAGCCACAACAGTACAACTAAAGACACTTAAGAAAAGATTTCCAGAATGGCTTCAGAAAGTGGCAAGAACAATGGGACAAGTGTTTGAAATGAAGGGGATTAATGTCATGTATTTTTTACTGTAAGATGTCATTAATTCAAACATTCACTGTACTTTTAAATTGCACCTTACATGTGTGACTGCATGGACCATTCTCAGCCACCTCTTGCTGCCCTTCCAAGCTCTTCCTCAAACACTCCAAGAGAATGCCCACGTTTATGATCTTTGCCCAGGCTATACTCTTGCTATTTTCTTTCCCTGGTGTGGTCCACATGGCTTTTCAGATCTTTGTTCTCAATATCAAGAAGACCTTCCTTGAACAATGTGTATGTCATAACCACCTCTAACTCCAATGTTTCAGTCTTTTTACAAAGGCAGAAATTATGGCCCTTTTAGAAGCGACAGATTCCTAGTATTTGAAGAGTGATGGACACATAGCAGGTGCACAAAATGTGCTAACATAGGTCACATAGGCCTGACAAAAAAGAAGTCTTGTCTCCTGATGACTAGAGAACAATTTTGGAAAACTGTTGGGTGCTTTTGTAGGCCAGGTCAACTATACTGCATCCAGTTTATACTTGGAGATCCAAGGGGATCTGGAGGAAGACGCACATCCAGGGAAGCAAGACAGCAGCATTGTCATTCACTTCTCATCAGAGCTCCAAGCAACGTTTAGCAAAGCTGTCCTGTGATACACAGCCCTAATTTGCGCCTTATGGAAAATCAAATAAATTATTTCTCACCTGAAGGGAGCAGGATTATTTGACTTCAGATATTTGCCATATGGCTTTTCTTTCACACAACATAGCTTTGAGGCTTAAGGTACTAAGAGCAAGAGCATGCCTATAAATTATTCAGAGATAATTCAAAATAAGTGTGTATCCTTGACAGGTTGTCAGGTTTCTTAATGCCTCTTCCAGATAACAAGTGCTATGCTTCTGATAAAGTGTTGCTTGATTCTTACCACTCTTTCTTGTTGTTCTGTGTGTGTATTCTATGTTTTGTTGTGTTTTGTCTGTTGTTTGTTTTTGTTTTTGCTCTCCCCCTACAGAGTCCAGTCTGGCTCTTATCTCAGTACAGGGTGGTTTACCTTCATTCTGGCCATGGATGCTTGTTACGGCATCCGCGTCTACGGGATGATCAATGACACCTACTGCAAGTAAGATCACAGGAAATTATTTTTATGCAGCTCCAATTCTGATATCTTGTCATAATATCACAATTCATTGTAATGTCATAAATCTGAGCAGCAGATAAAGCAACAATTATTTCCTGGTGTTCTTCGCTGACATGACATTCTATTGTCAGTGCATCAAGTTGTGACTTTTAGAGGTGATGAAAAGAAAAATATTTACCACAATCTAATGTCAAATGTCAGAAGGAACACTTTTCCCTTAATCAGTGGCATATCAGGCCCTTGTGGCTTGGAAATACAGCATAAGTTTAGTAGTAATCTAATTTGCAAAAGCAAGTTTGTCATTTCTGTCACTCTAATGGGTTGGTGGATGGCTATCTACTCAGTGGTTATATTTGATCATGAAGGACAAAAAGTCAGAGGTCTCAGAGAAACTGACAGCTTAACAAGTATTCCTAGAAACTGTATTCCAATAATAAGTGAATAATAATCTGCCAGATTCTCTTTAAAATGAATGTGTTTACCCAGAGCATGCCTGAGCTAGGGGACATTTTATAATTAGATAATAAAATAAACCCTCCCTGCTTCTTCAGGGTAGTGAAATATGTTTCTCTACCAACCATTGGCACAATATAATTCAGAGAATATTTTAATCATATTGTCAAAAAGGTAACTCTTACCCATGAGCAAATACTGCTACTGCAACTATAAGTGTAACGGAGCACTGAGATGCCTCAAATCTTGCTGTGAAAAATCATAAAAGTTTCGAAGTTCTGCAGGAACATCAAGTGACCCAGAGTTTGTGGCCATTATCCACCACTTTCTCTTTCAAAGGCTAGCCATATGTTTGAATGAAATTGGTGTGATATATAATTTTATTTGATCTATGAGTGCACTGAGGACCTGGTACATCTTCCTAAAAGCTTTCATATATAATAGCTTTTAACTGAGTTCATCGACAAGAATCATCTCTGGGTTTGCAAGTAAATGCATTTACTGGGTACATAATGGATTCTTGTAAATGAATGCTTCATTTTTCATCTTAATCTGCCCCCCTTTTTCTTCTTTTCTAGGACAGAAGGGTATAGAAAAGTTCCCTATCACTACTACGAACAAGGAAGAGATGAGTGTGATGAATATTTTCTCCATGAACATGCCCCGTACGGTGGACACAGATTTATCACTGAAAAGAAAGTGTTTGCCAAATGGGCCAAGAAACACAGAATAGTGTTCACACACCCAAACTGGACAGTGTCTTGATGTTGGTTTTCTAACCTTGCCACGCCCGATCGGGGCACCTCGAGTGTGATGCTTTTGATGCCAGCGAACACGATGGTATCAGTAAAGGCAGCGGTGATGACTAGGTTCCTCTTCCTCCTCCGACATGGCAGCAATTTTAACTTGGGATTCCGTAAGCGTGGTTGTGTTCATTACATTCTTTCTGAAGGTTCAGTACTACATAGTGCACTTTATAATTTAACTGGAATTGAGACTAAGGCCAATGACGTAACAATTGTGGCTTAAGGAACAGAAAGGTGGTCTTTCAAGATAGCTGCCATCAACTTCTAAAAGCTGTGGGATTTGACCTCCTGACACAAGGTTACTAAGTCCATGACTTCTTGAGCCTGGGAATGGGAGAGCAGCAACACCATCTTGAAAAATGAGAGACTATCAGACACTGTCCCAATAAATGCTACCAGGGTGCAAGCATCTTGCCCCAGTTCCTAGTGAGCCTGAGGTAAGGGAAGGCATCTCTTTCTGATGCGCCATCTTCCTATGGTATTTCCTACAGGGCAACTCTCAGGCCATTACCCAATTACCAATGAAGACATTGATCGTGGAGGTTCTACACATCAGAATTTCTTGACTATCTCAAACATTTCATTCAAGCTGTACTAAGTAGCAAATCTTGACAAATTTTCTCTCTGATCGTTTTATTCTTACCACTCAAAAAAATATAACCAAACATATTATGAGAAGGATCTATATTAAAGTTGTTCATTTTGGTTGAGTCCTAAATATTTCTGAATGCCTTTTAAAATGTGAGATGCCAACTTCAACACTGTAATAACACATACTGTGAAAACATTCCTGAAACATAACCAAAGGGTTTCCTGACTCTGCTATATCTAACAACACAAATTGTGTGCATTTTAAAATCATGAAACAGGGAAAACAAAACATATTTTTACATCAATTTATATCCTGCCATAAGTCATAATATATATTTGTATATTCAGATTTCTATTTTATAGGCCCAAGATGTGTCTTTCCATGCATTACATGATCTATGCCAAGTGCCAACTGTTTGACATGGATGATTCCCTTCTATTAAATCTCACCAGAGCTTTTACCTTTGTTAAGTTCATTTCCCCTGAGTGTATCTCTTGTTATACCATTATAACAACAGTAGTGATGACCTTACTGTCCAAACTGCTTTGCTATTTAGAGTGCTCTCAGATATGCTACACCACGTGATGTCCTTGACCACCTTGTGGATTACTGCCTATGCATTCCTTTTTCTCCTTAACAGGCAATGTGTAATTTGCTGGATGTCCCAATATTTTCAGGTTGCTCTATTTGCTAACATTTGTATAGACTAAACTTATGTAAACTAGTAATCAATTGATCTGATAGCCAAATACAGCATATTATATTAAGATTATGCAAAAAGTTTCACAAGGTCCATGTTGGCCATAGACTAGGATGCTTGTGAACTTTTGATCTGTTTGTTTTTCTGCTAAATGACTCTGTTTTGAGGAGAAAAAGTGAGAACATAGCACCAATAGGAATAAATGAAAGCAGAAAAGCACACTTTCATATCCTGGGATTGCCACAGCTCTGTTGTCCATATACTTATTGGTCAGTAAATATTAGAGTTGAATTACCAAGAGGCGAAAGAGCCCATGCCCATCCTTACAGGACACTTCAAAAAACAAGAGCCAGGCTCCATTCAAAGAGCATTCTGGAGGTTGGAAGTAATGATGCATTTCACCTCAGGAGTACCTGGTGCGTCCTTACCAGTGCAAAGCATGTGATGAGTCATTGTCACCATGTAAAAGCCTCCCTCCTGCTCTCTTCTGCCATTTGGGGCCCCAGTGGGGACCCATAAAAATTACTGAGCCCCAGTTTCATCATCAGAAGAGAGAGCTGTCATTCTTCTGTTGTTTTCTTATGTGATTTTCAGTCATATAAATGCTAGTTTTTTCAGAGCTAATAATGGATAGACATGCCTACATAAAGAAAAATAGACACAAATACTGAAATTGTAGTGCAGACTGAAATTGTAATACAGAAGTTCCACCTTTAAATAAAAAGGAATCTTTGATAAATCAGAATGTTCAGAGAATGACATAGCCTAATTTATTTAGTTTTCCAGTGAATGGGTAGTCCATTCTGTTTGTTTTAGTGATGAGAAATGTGAAAATGCACTTGCTTTTTTGCCTTGTGGCGGCTGTAGGTCATGGAAAGGACTTTGGAAGTAGCCCTCTTGGCCCCCTGTGTGTGTGTACCAGGTGGACTGAGGGCTGTTAGCTCAGGGTGGGGAGTGTTTCTTCTCTTTCCTTTCTTTTTCACTCAACCTCTATTCCATAAACTTTACAGTTGCTGCTTTTTCTCCCTTTTTCTATAAAGTAGGAAAGAAAACATACTTTATTCTCAATTTAGAGACCCAATTGTATGATTTCCAATGTAATCAGGACTTTGATTGAATCTCATGACTTGTTTTCCTCTGTAGTCTTTATTTTCTCTGTTTCTATTTCTTTTTTCTTCTGAATTCCAGCTTCCTAATTCTAATGCAAAGTCTAATTTGTCCCATGTTGAGAAGAAATTTTTCCATCTCATATTTGCTGATACAGAAGAGTGAGGCAAAGGAACAATTCAAGGCAAACATTTTGTCATACAAATTTATAGTCCATTCCTTGGGTTCTTGGCAACAAGCAGAGATTTCATCCAGCATCTTAACTTTGGAAAGTGTAACTGAATGCACTCATCACCAATGCATACATGGCCTAGATGTTAATTAATACCTTGAAGAAGAAGCTTCAATACCATCTAAGGCTCTAGGCAAAGGGACTATAGAAAATGACTATGATTCTCTGAAATTAGCATAAAAACATGCAGGTTAATACAGTAAAAATATTAATGTTAATTGTGCATAATCCTAAGAAAACCACGAAAATTTTTTAAAGATTTTAAAATGAATACTTGAAACCCTAAGTTAACCTAGTGACAAGTAGTAATGCTATGCATTATTATGATGTTTAACGTGTGATTTTACAGGCTACCAACCTACCAAAAGAAAATCAATTTCTCTCACTATATATATGCACACAAATATTCACAGATACTAATAACTATATATACACATGCATGTAATCCAATATTTTCCTCTGATATGTCTGAATCACGGAAAAGCCTGTTTTAGGCCTCATCTGAAATTTGTTTGGCTTCATTTTGAATTCTGATGAAGAAGGCAAAAATTCAAAGTAAATGTACTGATTGCTAAGAGGACATAAAATCATATTCAATAGCTGTCCAGAAGAATAAAGCTAGCAAAGATGCTAAATCTAGAACTGAGAACACAATTAGATGCCACAGTTGTCACAAATCAGGCTTGTAAGCATAGCAGTCTGTGTCTTGAGGCTCTGCCGATTACAGCTTAGCGAAAGTCACATTGAAAAACACAGCATCAGGCTTCATTCATGCTGCAGCAAATGAATTGGTCCTCCTATTCAAATAAGCCAGGCTTTAGCATAAGCAAAGCACAGATTTGCATGATTTTTATTATATAGCTTAGGAATTGTGGCCATTGTGAAAAAAGAAAATTATATAAGGAGATTGCTCTGAGATGATTTGCTATGAGTCAGCTGTCTGGAAGCAAGAGTCTGAATTGGAGACCTACTGACCGTTCAAGAAGTATAAAGCCATCAGAAGAGAATTATCTACAGCTTCTGTAGAAGGGAGACTATACTCAAGTGCTTCAGAAGAAAGACCAAACTCAAGTACTGAAGACACCACTCAAGTAGCTGTTGATGTTAATGGGATGTTATTTATGAGATCAGCTTAATTTTGATAATCAAGAAGATATAAGCAGACTTACTTTTTAAAAAGATATCCACCTTGCACTTAATATGGCATATCAGATGCAAAGAACCACTGGTGCTGGCCCTGGCCAGTTGTTTGCATATCTTAGCACAAGTGAGTTGCATACCCAAGACCAGGAAGGAAAAATGCTTTGTTTGTAACTGTATTTTTAAAAGGCAAGACCTCATTGTTTTGATAAAGTACGTATATCCAATGACTGAAGGAGCCAGCACTTGCCTTCCTAAGTAGTCCAGACTTAGGAAGTTGACAGGGACCTTACAGACTAGATAATCCAACCTTTCTACCTTGGACTTGAAGAAATAAACCCATAGAAGCAAATCAACTTACGCTTGCCTATAGAACAACTGACAAGTACGTGGACCCAAATTCTGGCTATTTTCTCAAATACTTTGCACAACATTCTTGTAGGCACAGAATACTACCTGGGAAAATGCATATGCTATTCACCAAATAATTTACATTCAAGGAAACGAAAGGCTCCGATTAGTGTTGATTCTGCTCAGAATTCAATCCTGATGACTGAATCATCCCTACACTGATGATTTGCCAGGTACAGAAGTATTTGCATAACTGACCGAACATGTCTTACTAGTTTTTTTCTGTTCTTCACTCTTGTTTGGTGCTAAAACTAGGCCATATTCCAACATGGTGAAATCCAGAGCCTAGCATAATGAAGACAAAGGTGCATTCCTTAGTCCTTGGCATTGAGTGCACAGTCAGGAACCACTGGGTGATGGAAGTCACCTGGTGAGGCTGGCAGGCCCTGTTGCTGATGTATCCTGAGAGTAGAGGTGTCTGGCCTCAAACCACTCAGCTGCCAGGGTTAGAGAGTCCTGTTGCACTGATTGATGAAAGGCTGCCCTTGGTTTTCCTGGCCACCCCCATACTGCCAGCGATCTCTAGCCCACATACCCCTCTAGACGGGAATATAAGCCCCAGACATCCCGCAAGTCTCAAGAGGCACACAAGGCTAAAGCAGATTTTCTCCCTTCAGTCCACTCATATCACCCTGTTAGAGGTAGAAATTTTTAAAACCATAGTTGTTGGGCTCTGGAAATGGCTCCTTCAGACCAGAAAGAGCGTTCTGTTCTGCTGCTTGTTTTCACTGAACCTTAGAGACACCACCGGCATAAAATTGCATATAAATTGCTAAGGTGTTGAGTCAGAACTGTCCTTGGGCATTGTAGCAGTACAGAAAACCTCATTTAGTTGTTTTTAAATTCTCTGCTTCTTTTTTCCTTTCAGAATAGGCATAATTTGTTTTTGAGGTAGAAAAGCTCTTCTTTCTCCACATATATGTTCCCCTTTGAGACTTCAGAAAAACAGAAGCTCACTTTCATAAAGGTGAAGAACGTCTTCAAGAATAAATAGCCAACTTCCAGATTCATGTGTTTGCCTGTGTAAGTGAGCAGTTTCTTCTAAGAAACTCTGAAGACACCAAAACCAGAGTGGTTTATGGTTCCTTGTTAGCTAACCTGCAAAGTACCGATTGCCTTGTGTTTAACTTTGCTGTCACTGCTAACCAAGTAAACATCCATTTCCATTACACATAGTTATATTTTAGTTTTCACTCATCTTTCTGAGTTCACATGATTTTTGCTGTATTCTCTCATTCACTTTTAAAACCTGTAATCTTCCTCTGTTTACAGAGGCGATTCCAAATGCACAGCCGTACTTTAGGTGAGGGAGGTTTTCCTGGTATCACATCACTTCATTTGTAGGCACTGTCTTAGAAAAAAGCTTGCATCGTAGCAAATGGGCGATTAGCATATTTCGGTTCTTTCACATTCACAACAGGATCATTATATGTTAACAAAGCTGGAGGATGCTATCACTGAAAGAAAAAAGTGTGGAGACATTCAGGATGCTCAGTAAGGCAGGGAGACAGCCAAGATGGCATCATAGACAATAAAAATTTCAGAATTTGTGTGGTTCCCATTGTCCACCTGATGCTAAGACCTGTTCCATCCTTTGGTGCTCCAGATTTCCTAACCAAGATAACGTCATCAACAGGCTGCTTCGAATAAAGAATTCCTTCTTTTTTCATGCCCTTACTCAACCTCCCTTTCACTCCTTCCATTTCCTCCTTTTTCCCCCCGTTCATCACATTTGGATATTTTCTCATTTTATAAATCAGCTAATAATAATACGTAATCTAACTCCATAAGAGACACATATTTGGAAGGAATCTCAAGGTGAGACTCTTCTTTGGAAATAAATAATAGTAATCTATACTCCAGGTTTATTAAAGGACTGAATGCCTAATCCAGTCCCCCAAAGCCTCTGTGAGGTACATAATACTATTCTCCCCATTTTACACACAAAGAAATTGCAGCACAGAAAGGTGAAGTGTTCTGCCCAAGGCTAAGTTAGTGATAGAATGCACTCAGAACAAAACCAGTCTGGCCCAAAGATGCTATCCACTGGGGGTTGGCTAATTGATGTGCCTAAGAACACCCAAAGATGGGCAGTCTGGCACAATGAGGTTTGTTTCTCTCTGAAGTGTCCTCTCCAACCAGCTTGTCTTTAAAAGTGACTCAGGAACAACGGCACCCTCTGTCGTATGACCTTGCCCTCTACTGGGGGATGCCCATCCTCTCTCTTCCCACTGATGAGGTCAGATCAAGGTGAATCTTGTGCTGTGGGGTTTCATGGGCAAGTCTACATGGGCCACATCTCTCCAGCCACATTCCACCAGCTAGACTCCATCACAGGCCTGACACGAAGTGAGCTGTGCTGTCTCATTGTGGGTCAGCCCAGCAGGAAAAGGAACGGAGTTAAATAAAGACATAGAAGTCCCTGCCATAATATTCTTGGTCGTGATGACATATAGCTGCAAAAATATCACTGTTTTGTTCAACTGGATGAATTGTTTATATGGTAAATTCTCATTCCATGTTTAGGAGTGCTTGAGAAAAGTCTTTTCTCTGCATGGGTGCCAGTACCCACACCTGTAACAGAATAAGCTGAAAAACAAAATATTGATCTAGGTTCTATTATGCCAAGAAGAGAGGATATGATTTCTGTTGCCTGAGGAAGCAGAAAGAGAAACTCATAAGTTAGAGACACTTTTAAGTGGTTTTAGTCTTTCCACAGTAGAAGTAACATGACTTTTAATGTCCTAATGATTTGTGGTTAGAGTAGGATAGATCCACCTTCGCCTTTCATCAGCCCCCCCATTTAGTGCCTGTTTAGTTGCAAGATAGCACAAAGATTAGCCTCCCTTTCAGCTTTCCTTTGGTCTTCAGGGCCATACAGTGCTCTGGTAATTTTTTTTAAAGTTAAAAAAAATGAAATTGCTGTTCTCAAGTCTTCAAATTGCAAATATCCTCACATGTCTTTTGCTTTGTTCTCACTGGCATATGAACTTGAGCAAAGGGGAAAAAAGGAATAAAACATTGTCAATGAAATGGCCATCCCAAACCATAGGTTATTCTTAAGAAAAGAGGTCTTTATATTCCTTCTTTCTCAATTCTTTCCTTCCCCGCCCAATATTTTCTACCATTTGATATTTTCTTGAAAATCTCTACAAGCCCTTTCCCCTTAATGCAAATACATTTTTTTATTTATCCTGAAGTTTTATTTCACCTAATAGAAACTATTTGCTGTCTGTCTTGGCAAAAAAGAAAGTGCTTTGCATGTTCACTTATAAATTTTCTTATTACATCCATGAGATAGATTACATGGGACTCTAAAAGCAAAATAAAGAAGAGAGTCTGCCATTGTTTACATTCTTCCAGATCAATGTGACATTTGTTATAAAGGCAAGACACTGTAGAGCCTGGTGTCAGTAACTGGCACAGACTTGGGTATCTTTATCAGAGTTACACCTGGTGTTAAGAATCCCTTGTGGTGCTTTGCAGGAATGTACTGTTTAATGAGAGTAGTAGACACACTACCCTATGCCCATGACTAAAAGTCTTCAATGACATGAGCATGCAATGCGTACCAGTAGTACCTTATGCTAGACATTGAGAGTTCTTGCATCTGTAATTGATAAAACTTTTAAAACATGCATTTTCCATGCTTATGAAATAACTTAAAAGTCTGTATAATCTTCCATAATTTTCTACTGCATGTATACATATCTCTAAAAGTATAACCCATGAAATTAAGTTTATATAGGATGGTCTTTCATCTATAATGGCAATTTTACTTCAAATTGAAACAGTTTGACCAACACATCTTTGAGTGAAACTGATTTTTAAGAAGAATCCTATTTTGAAATGACTAAAAAAGATACATACCCTCTACACTATTTGATGGAGAAAAGGCGTTAACACTGGGTGAGGACATGCCAAGATCTCTGAATCATGTCATTGTATGTGGAACAACAAAGAAATAAAAATATTCAATTGCACAATGTAAGAATTCATTGAAGCCAGATTTGGCGTAAGAAATACAAAGCTAGAAAACATGGACTCAAAAAGGACAAGAGGATGAATTAATAGCAATAGTCATTCAGACTATTTAGAGACTGTGGAGCACTCTACTAGGAGATGTAGCAAATTAAAAATGTCACTAATACCCTAAGACACACAGAAAGCAAGCAATGACGAGGACCGCTCATACCATTTCTGGATATATTTTTAAACTTATTTTTATTTACTTTCCAAGTGCAAGTAATATGATTTAATTGTTAGAAACATGCAAAAGACAGAAATGTATAATACTCATTGTCATACTGCCTGGTATTCATCTAATATTTTTCTAAAGATATTATTAATATATGCACATATGATGATGGTTTATAGCCTACTTTGTCTCCATAACATGAAATTGAAAGCACTTGCTCTGGATGTCTAAATTATCCTAAAACTTTTTAAAAGCTACATTGTGCTATAATCTACCTAACATCCCCTTCCTTTTCCCTTTTCCCTTTTCCCTTTTCCCTTTTCCCTTTTCCCTTTTCCCTTTTCCCTTTTCCCTTTTCCCTTTTCCCTATATGGTAAACAACTTTGTTCATGAATTTTTTTAAAGCTTCCTGACTTTTTTTCTTTTACTCTACCAGCATATAATGGTGCCTGATGTCTTGAGTTCTTGCCAAAATGGTAAATTTTTTTGTACTTGCCAACTGTATATGTGCAAGAAAAGGTTATTGTCTTTTAGCTAGCATTTAATGGATTACTAAGGAAATTAAATTTGGGCATATTTATTGGCAATTTACATTTCTTCTCTCATGAATTAGCTCTTTCTGTAGCTTGTCCATTTTTCTATAATGGGAATCAGCACACTTTAAAGATGTAAACAAAGGAGAATTCATTCAAAAGAAGGGGATCATGAGCAAGGGGGGGAACAGGAATAAAATGACATCACTCGAATGGCCATGGCAGAGAAGCTAGACCATTGTAGCAGACCTGGAATTAGTTAAACATGGGGAACATTTAACCAGCTTAACTGAATGCTTTAGGGAGAACTGAATTCAAATATTTCAGAGGCATTAGTGCAAATTTTAAGTGCTGTGATGCTATGCTACAGAACTAATGAATGGAATTTCAGATTCCTATTTCAGAAGGGTATTTGGAAGAGTCCAAACTTAGAATGTAGATTCTTAGAATGGGAGAAATTATATGATATATTTACAGATAGATCAGACTAGTGCATTTTTTAATGAGTCTTTTGATCAGGCACAGTTGGGCTCAACAGCCACCAAGACTGCTTCCAGAAGCCACTAAGATTCTGTGAAGTACATAGAATGTGGCCACCATGTGTGAAGTCAAGACTTGACACTTAAAATAAATTCTAAAATGATTAAGCTTTGGGAAAGCCTTGTCTTAACAGAAGCATATTTAGAAGTCATCTCTTACAACAGTTTATTTCGGATGATGGCTAATTTTACCTAGTGCATGTCAAAAGATAGACTCTTGAATTCTGGGGGTATGTTGGATTTGGAGAGCACACACCCGACCCTTCCACATCAGCCCCAGCCCTCTTCCCATCGCTGACTTCATTCTCATAAGGTTTCCAAAAAGGTATAAGTTCTTTGCTCCCCAATAGGGGAAATTAGTTCACATTTCATGTATGAAAATATATGGTTATATTTTATATACTGTCTATTATGATATAACTTTGAAATGTAATGACTTGGGAAAATTACATTTAGTATCATACCATTCCTTATGTTGGTAATTTATAATAGTGGATGTCACTGTAGATTTAGAAATTACTTATATTATTCACCTTTTCCTATTTCTGTTAGATTAAATAAATTCTTCATGTTGAGTTTGGCTGTAGTTTTCAGTTCTAGTCTGGACCATTCACTTTTGGTATATTTATATTCCTTTTATCTATTTTTTGTAGCTTCAAAATGATGCCTTGGATATTTTAAGTTTTAAGCATTCAGTACCCGTCTGAAATTGCCCTCTTATGGTTTTTGTAAAATAATATTCCCCATAATACAAATTTAAATTACCTGCCTTTTGCTTTACTAGCCTTAATCCAAGAAGGCTAATTGAACATTAAGTATTTTAATCATCCCACGCTGTCAAGCTCGTCTCCTCAGTACTGAGACCTGGATAGGCCATGAGCTTAATTGTATTCCTGGCAATGCAACTAGAGTGAAAGCTTGACAATAATGATCAGCGCATAATTAGGGAATTATTCTTGGCTTTTATTAATATCTTTGAAGAAATTCATCTCAACAAATATCCAGTAAAGAAAATAAACTTTATGGAACTGCTTTAGAGCTTTGGAAGTACACAGATGAGTGGGCTGCAGCACTATTCTTTATGGGGTTTATGAAAGAGTTAAAAAAAATTGCATCAAGATTCCAAACAACTACAAGGTGACTGAGAGTCAGGTAATGCATATAGGAGTGATGCAAACAGGAACACTGTATGTAGTACAGAGGCACAAGAAGCCAAGCAGATGATGATTCAGATATAAAAATTGTCATCATATTATGTATGTGTGCAAGTAATAGGCCAATATGCCGATAGGGTAATTCAGACCCTCAAGATGGCACAGTACACGCTAGATCTCAAGAAGTGTATCTTGAACTCCTATTACCAGTGCTGTACTGAAACACCTAATATAGGAGACAGCCGCCAAGACATAAAAATGCTTTCCTCTAACACAAGATGAGGCTTTCTGACAGCAGTGTCTTGCAGAAGAGCAATATTTATTTGAAAATATAGAAGTTATTTTTGAAAAATGAAATGAAAATGTCCATGGTATAGTGAAATGCCAAGAATTCTTCTATCTTCTCTGGAATTTGCTAGGAGGCTGAGGTTCAGGCAAGACTCTGGTACTATTTTTAAATGTATTCATTGAACAAATACCACCTTTCAAAGACATTTCAAAGTAAGCTGTGAATTCTAATAGCATAAAATGTGGAACCAATTTAGGTGTAAATATGGATCCATTTTATCCCTTTTATCCATGTAGATCAATTAGTCTTGTGTTATTATTCTTGATATGCATTCACTCAGCTTTAGGAGTTCCCATGAATGTGAATTATCCTGATTATGCTTTTCTTATGATGGTTTCATCTACACTTATCCACAGAGCTTGAGTGAAAATTTTCTAATGTAATAATAGCTATGTGCATCTAAGACTTTAGCAGAGCTCAGAAACAGACGTGGACAGCAAAAATTGTAATATACAATTATCTCAACTTTCACCTCTTTTGTGAAGAAAATATAATAGAGGAGTCAACTTCTTTTATTTGATTAAATTGATTGTGTATTAGTCAGTTTTTCCACACTGTTACAATATTCTATACCTACGACTTAAAGAAGAGAGGTTTAATTTGGCTCTTGGCATAGAAGAAACATGGTCCCTGGTCACCTGCACCCAAGACCAGAACATCATGGTAGAGTAAAGGTACTTAGCTTACAGTGGTTGGAACATAGAGTAGGGGAACAGCACCAGACAGGAAATGAACCAGGGACCATATATATAGCACCAAAATGAGGCCTCCATGACCCATTCAGACACACCTAGCAATATATTTTGCTAATCCCCGAGGCAGCCCCTAAGCCAGTTAAACATAAACTTGATTCCATCTTGTATCAATTTGATACTCAAGCGTATCTCCTTAAACTATAATTCATCTTCAAGCAAACACAAGGTCACCGTTTCACCTAATGTGATACAACTGTGCCACATGCAAAGTGAACGCAGCAATCCCTTTCCCAAGCTCTCAATAGTCCCAGCAGTGTCAAAAGGTTCAATTCAAAGTCTCTTCTGAAACTCAATACAAACTATTAGCTGTGAATCCCTCTAAAGATAAATGAAAACAAAGTACATAATTCCAAGGTGCTATGACACAAGGGTAACATTCCCATTCCACAAAGAAGAAATAGGGACATAGAAAAGAATGGGATGTAAACAAGACTAAAACCCAGCAGAGCAAACATTAAGTCCTTTAGTACCATGTTGGGAATCTGAAGAACAAGGTGGTAAGATGTGAGTTCGGAGGATGTGGGCAGTCCCAGCCTTAGGACCTTGCAGGTTGTAGTGCAGTTGGCTCCTCTCGTGAGCTGCCTCCACTCACAGCCTGAAGCTTCCTGAATATGTGTCCTTATGCCTATCATTTCCAACTTCCTACAATCTCCACTGTACCTTCAGCTTCATTTCCACAGCCTCATTCACACACAGCCTTGACAGAGGATCCTTTTCTGATCTTCCATGTCTTTCTTTAAAACCTGGGTGGAAGCTCCTCTGACATTACAGCTCTTGCATTTTGCATGCAAGCAAAACCAGCACCACATGGACAATGCCAAGGTCTTCTGTCCACAAGAGCAGTATCCAAGGACCCTTAGATTGTGACTAGAGCTGACTGTAGGTGGCCAGAGGGCTGAAAATAGTGACAGGATTCTGAGTTAGTTAATTGCTCAGAAAGTTCTACTTGAGGACAGAAAACAGAGACTCTCTTTCCAAATGGAAAGTTGACGTTTTGTACTCTTAAGTCTGTGATGCATGAAGTCTTGCTATCTGAGATGCCCTAAAGTTATCTTACTTCTTGGCTCTATGAAAAGTAGTTAGCTTATGCATAATGGCACTAGTCTCTTCATAAGCATACCTCCTTTCATCCCATCTTAAGTTTGGGGTCACAATTTAAATTTTTAAAAATTCTCTGTTCTGCTTTTTGCCTTTAATTCTCACAATAAATCTGCCTGGAAGCATGCCCTGTCATGGTGATATTGGGCTCCTTGACATTGCCTTGGCCAGACCAATTATGCCAATACCATTAATTTTAGCCTCAGGCAAAGCCTTGAGACATGAGAAAAATGTAGATTTTTTTTTTTTTGGCTACATGTAACATACATGGTTTCTAGTTCAACTCCCTAAAGAATCATTATTCCCACCTAAAACCTCATGATCTGGCCTTTACTGACCATCCTTTATTCTGTTCTGAGCTCTGATCAGAATTACCTCTCATTTCCTGTTTAACCATTCTAGAGCTTCTTTTCCGAACTTCTGCATCCACCCAGTTCCAAAGGCTTCCGAAGCGCATGTTCACATAGTTATGGCGACAACCTCACTTCTCTAGAACTGTCTTCTATATTAGTGAGCTTTGCTTTCACTAAAATGTGGTATCTTGCATACAATTCAAAGGAGGAGAAGTTTGGTTTGGTTCATGGTTTCGGATCATTTAGTTCATAGTAGGTTGTTTTCAAGGAACAAATATCAAGGCAGTGAGGTGTGAGGGAGGAGATGTTTAGTTCATTGCAATTTCAGAGCAGAGAAAGGAAACATCAAGGAGGAAAAGGGCCGGGGACTGTATGTAGCACTCAAAGTCATGCTTTCATGACCCACCCAGATGGACCCAGGAGTGTGCTTCACTAACTTCTCTAGGCAGCTTCCAAGCCAATCTATTTGACACAATTAAGCTTAACCAACATGAATTTCAAGTTTCTAAGACCCTGC